CTGGCCCCTTCTGAGCCCCGCCTTCATGGCGGGGCCATGTGTTTCAAGGGATATCATTGTCATCGTGCCTTCTCCAGATTGTACATATTTACGCGTGTGACGGATAGGGTACGCAAGATTAGACCATATTGGCCCATTTGTCAGCAACGGCCACCCAAGGTCCAAAAACCGACTACATGTCAAAACGTCTATGACAAACTGTCGATCCATGTCTTCAGTTGCCATCTTCGACGTATCTATGTGAGCGCCAGTCGGAGAGACAATTGAGGACATGCCAAATCACCTCAGTTATCTTTAACAGATCACTTGGGATACTGTCGTAACGACAGCAAGTTGTCAGATATTCAGGAAGCAATAATGTTGGACTTTTGTTGTTCTTTCCACTACTTTTGGAATCTCCGCGTTATTAATATAGCTAATACACCCTGCTTGTCGCAAAAGATAGATATCGGCTCTCTGTTATGCTTAATTCCTTTTCAAGTAACCTCAAAGAAGATATAAAGGACATAAATTAATAGATACACGTCAAAGATGTCAAACTCACCTTAGATTACTTAGTAGAATTTCAGAAGTATTATGACCTACATAGATGATGACAGACCTCACACCGATCAGCATGCGAAAAAAATAGTGAAACAAACACCCCATAAAACAAACCTGTGTACTCCGTTAATTCCAGCTTTAGTTACCTCGGCTTACAGGGGAAAGAAGTGCAATTAAATATTTTATATTTATTTTTAATTCACCGTAGTATTTAGTTATCTACACGCATTAATGTTTGATATTGCTTACTTACCGGTCTCTATTCTTCATGATGTTTTGTGTTCGTGAATAAAATTTATGCCAAAACCACAAAGGTTTTCAGCACTGCATTGCCCCGGATTCAACCGTCGCCAACACCGCCCAGTCCGGAGGTGGGTGTTGGCAGGGCTATGAGTGTCTACCTTAGAGGAGACTCAAATAATTGGAGGTAATAATATCGTCATTTATGTGAATATGAAAAACTCTCCATAGCTTAACGTACAAAAATACCTATCGTGTAGGCTAAACTTTAAGCAATTATTTTTTAATCATTTATACTTACGTCGCAAGGCATGACTAATACTAATATCAAAATAGTTCTGTCGAAAACACTACGCTTTCTACACATCAAAAGTGACGAAAGTCAAGGTAAGTTCAACCAGCTCTTTAATGCGAGAAAGAAACTTTACAAAGGACTATGCCAAGCGATAGCTCCTAGCCGTGTGTTCGGGTGAATTGTGTCTTTAGTGTCTGCCTTTCTGTGCCTTAATCATGCACGATTCTAGGCGCCTTTGCTACTCCATCTAATCAATTAATAGAGAGTCAATAGAAGTGAATGTAAGAGTTCCGGAAAGCAGTTCAGAAGAGAATGCTTCGAGTGCTTCCCAAGATGTGATTGTGCCAGGAGCAATTCGTCTTACTGTGTGGGGCGGAACGGAGAGACCGAAGGTCCTATGAATATGAGTGAATTTTAGTTGTAGTCATATTTTGTTCTCATTCCTTTGTGCACTTCTCAGCATACGAATATGGTTTAGCATACTTTAAAGTGGGTGAAAAACAAAGACTTTAGGGAATTCTTATGGGAGCTTATTAATTTATAATGAGATTTCATATCTCGGAGAACAACTGTGCTAACAGTGCTGGTTATAAGTCGATTATTATTTGCACCTGAATACTTAGTGGATAGTCTAACAGTCTTTAGAATTGTCGATTGATGCCTTGTTTCCTCGGTAATCAGCATGCATGGTCCTGCTTAATTTGAAAAATAAAAAACAAACTGAACTAGTTATATATGAAACGCGGTCCAGTTTTAAGAACTCCTTCGAATCTTGTTGACCAACGAGGATCATTCCCGAGTAAATATCAGCATCCACGTGAACGTTGCGTTAATTTCTGTTCAATAGAAAACTTACAAACGTTTTGATGACTAAGTCCTTTGTATTATTGAGGCAGTTATTACACACTTGCAGTTAACTCATAGGACCTGGAAAAGCATGAACAATTTTTAAATGAGGTGACAGGATAGTTAGAAGAAAGCTTGGGCATGGACATTCGTTAATGAGCGTTCACCGCTGGCTAACAGAACTCACTTGTTCTGCTTTATCTTGGTTCACATTCACGGGCCTCGCCAGCAGCCGCACAGTAGTTATTAGTATAGGAAGATAGCGTTGCTCCTTGTCGTCCTTGTTTTTGCCCGAAACATTTGATTCATATTCGTGCAAGTTTTAGCATAGTCGTTATTTTGTTACTGATCCAGTCTTCAAAGGTGCACTGTGCATTTCAAAGCACGCAGCCCTACACTGATGGACATACTGACGTCACTTTTCCAGGAAGTGTGTGAGCAATGATAATCTCTTCAGAGACATCAAATCCGCGACCAGCGTGCACAAAAACAAAGAAAAAGGAAACCGGCAGTGCTGTGAAATTCATGGGGCACACAAAATGGAGAACCACAACCGTCTGAACACGCAGGTGAAGCAGGTGGACCTGTCCTTGAAAGTAAATGTGGATATCACATAAGCCGCTGTACTGTCAACAGTTCCTTTGCGAAAAGTTAATTATAGACGAAAAATAAACGCAACACTATCTCTTCGCTGATTTAGCGAAACGCATTCTACAATGTCCATAGCACTTGACGCGAAAAAATACTGTTTGGCTTGCGACGTCCGGAATATTTTAAAATGCTGCAAAATTTTCATCATCGGATAATGGTACGTGTTACAAAGAAAAAGAGGTATCTCTGACCTGTTGGCGGTCACCAGTGAGGTGAGCTATGAGGGCTGCGTACTCGCTATGCTCTGCCAGGCTAGTGGACGCTTACTGTGAGGAGCGTGCACGCATCCGCGTCCACGACTTGTAGTTCGCAGACGAATGCAACAGTGGAGTACGGCCTCTCTACCTACGGTTGATGTTACTTCTGTCTGGTCGGAAGCAGCACCAAAGACAAAGTATGAGGCTGCTTCTGCCAAGATCAAGCGCACGCCTCCATTCCCTGTCCGTTCGTATACTCTGCCGCCCATAGGGGAGATCGTTTGCTTCAGAAAGCCGATGGACCAATGCGCATGTAGGAAAAAAGGCGTATTTTCTTAAAATAAAAGCTTTTCAGTGTGCATGTCAATGCTTTTATTTACGTGATTAACGTTGAACCTTGTCTATTCATGCTTAGAAGTGTGTTTTAATCCGATTTGTGGGTGAACTTAAGTACTTTTCAATATGAAAACTTTCAAGGAAAGTTTATATGACAACTTTTTTTCATAACGTTCCCAAGCTCGTTCCGTAAAAACTAGTCAATTTCATAAGGATTACTTCAAGTCTCCATTTTTCCGTTGACTCGTTGCCGTAGCTTTCATTCTCTCAGTAAGTGCTCTAGGATCTTATCGAGGAGAAATGAGTCAACAAAACTTCCCATTAAATAACTGAGCCTGGTAGCCATTCAGATTATTTTAGCTTACTTGCTCAGAAAGTCCCTTTTGACAGTCGGATTACTGTATCGTTATTGGTAAACTTACTACACTGGCGTAGGCTGGGCGGGCAGCTTGATTCCTATGTGGTTACAGCTCCCGAATGGGTCTCGTTTCTCAGCTGGTTGGAGAATCAGCTCTTTCGAAGCCTTGCCCATGTTATTGCTGGGTCCAATCTCTGCAGGGCGGCCAGTCTGTTTTTCATTGCAGCAAAGAAATGATTATAAGCTACCATTAGCTCACCTTCGCAGTTTTAAGTTCCAGCAGCTCAGTTTGTGGAAGTTAGGAGGTTGTCAGTTGGCCTAACGCAAATACGTTGTCTTTACAGGTGATTAAATCATCACAAATCAATCCGATGGAAGAAAAGCTCACTGCCGTCTATCGAAATGTTCTTGGAAGTCTGCAGAACAGTATTACTCGTAAGGAGGACCTAAAAGCTGGTAAGATGCTAACATAAAAGGCAACTGTCTCTGAACACCAGTAATGCGACAGTGTGGACTAGAACATCCCATGAAATTGGCTGAAAAAATCTGGTTCATGTACAAAGGTCAGATAGTCTTCTTCGGAGTGCGCTAACTTCCTTTCTCTCACTCTCTCTCTCTTCAGGTGAGATTTCCTACGAAGAGCTTCGCTGCATAACTTACATAATTCCTGACGTGTGCTATGACGACTTTCTACATGCTTTGGAACAAATTAAGGATTCAATCGATGACTCTAAAATAAGTATTTCTACATTTGTTTCGAGAATTTCAAAAGTCAGTTGATTTCCTGTCTCTCCTTCGATTCTAGCCAGTACATTTAGAAGGCTAGCAGGGGGTTTAGGGCAGACTTGCAGCAACTGCTGGATTGCTATGAACTCACCGATGAAGGTCGCATTGTGGATACTGAGGAAGTTCGGAATTGCAGTTGTTGCCCACATTGATAATTTTTTTTATTCACAGCTGGCCTCGATTTTGGCTACTTGTTATGCAAAAGCAAAAACTTCTTGCCTACAGCCGTCTTCTACTGCGCCCGTAGGCATCGTTCACCAGAACACTGAACCGGAAAAACGTGCGCCACAAGCGAACCCTGGATTGAGTAAGTGGACTTTGCGCCGACCCTCACTGCAGTCGTTAATCCTTTCATTTTCGACTGCACCCTGGATCTGCGAGAAGCGATACCCCGCCAACAGTGGAGAGCGGTTTACTCGTCTACCGGTACAATGTTTCTCAGCCCATGCGAAGAAGGCCAAAGACCGGCCTGCCAGTTCCAGAGCTTCGTAATATCAGTCGTGGAAACCAAGGAATTCGAAATTTGCCTCACTTCCAGTACGTTTTTATTAATTTCTGGTTTTAGCGAATGCAAACTGAGGCTTTACTGAGTGAACTATACTGGCACATCTGCCGACTATCTGCAAATGACTAATAGTCCTCTGAGTTCTGTTCTGCGGCAGTGCACTCATGTTCTCCTTACCCGTCGGTGCAAGCTTAAACAATGCGTAGACAAATAGTTTTCCCATCCCTTTCATGAAAAGAGTATGGAGTTCCTTTCGTCATCATGTCTTAGTTTGCCTATTTGGCTGAGTCTATGGAATTATTAACCGTTTTGAGGGCTGCTCTTTTTTAAAGTATGTTCAGCAGGGTGTTGAGTTACTGCCGCACAGCAATGTTTTGAAGTAAAGTTTTGTGTCAAAAGTAGGTGCTTAGAGCATCGTTCCTGGCCTTAATATACGCCTCAATCCAGATGTTTTGGAACAGAAGCCAACTCCTGTTGCAGTTTAAAACTACCGAAGATCACCAGTGTTCCTAAGCTTTTGACTCCGTAATTTTTTTTTGAAACAGGAGCAATTCCAGTCCATCTTTCTGTTTATTTTAGATTAAAACTTTGCTGAACTAGGCTATGGAACATTGGAAACAAGGAAGACCGGAACAGTAATTTTTCCCTTAGCTGGCAACCTTGGCCCCGCACAAGACGACTGACTGGCTGAGATTTAGGAATAGAGAATGAGTTCGCCAGCTCAGCGCAGTTTCCACGCTATAAGCGATTTGACACGCTTGGACCTATCACTGTACAGGCTCACGCCGCGCCAGCATTCCGCGCTCCTACCCGCCCCCGTCCCTTTGAATGGGTCATGATACTGGACCTATGTTGGCCTATGGTGCTGCCTGGTG